TTGTATATAATATATTTTAATTTAAAATTTTGATATTTGGAATATATTTTTTTTTTATGTTGACGGCCGCGCCGCGATTGCGGCCGTACATGGCGCAAGCGCGCGCGGCTACACTGGGTAAGGCCGCGGTCGGGGCGCGGTCGACGGCGTTTCAGGCGCAATCGCGGCGCGGCCGCGAGCCCTTTTTTTTTTCTAAAAACGAAATGAAAAATGTTATATAAATTTTAAAAAATAATACAAATTTTCTATAAAATATATTTTAAAACTAAATAATAAACATATTTATATCTTTTATTTAATTAAAAATATATAGTATATATATAAAAATATAATTTAATTTTTCGTATTTAATAAAATAAATATTTTTTTGTTTGTAAAAACGAAAATAAATATAAATTTTATGTAAATTTTAAAAAATAATATATGTTTTATATAAATTTTCTATATAATGTATTGTAAAAAATAAATAATTAAAATATTTAAATTTTTGCGTAAATATTTTTTGTAAAAACGAAAAAATATGAATAGAAATATATATTTTAAATAATTAAATAGATATTTAAAATATTATTAATTGTAAATAATTAAATATATATTTTAAAAAATAATAAATATATTTAAAATATATATTTATTTAAGAATAGGGAAAAATATGAATAAATAATATATATATATACATATTATATATTAATAATTAAAAAATATTAAGAAATATATATATAAATATTATGTATATATTAATTATAAAAATATATTAATAATTTAAATTAATTTAGATTAGTAAATTAAGTTGTCTACTTTAAGTTTTGAAGATAAATGAATTAAAAAAATTTGTTTACTAAATATTCGTTTAAAATTTTGAATTTAGGCTGATGAGTATCTTGCGGACTTTGTTGGGTCTGGACCCCGACACACGAAAGTTCGGAATGTGAATGCTTCCGCTCGGTTGCAGAGGCAGCGGATGCTCCTTCATGCTCATACGGTACAGACTCCTCTTGCTGATAGTTCGAGATATCTCGCTACTCCGATACAGACTGATCAGCAGTCGGACATACTCATGCCTGGCAGTTTGGGACGCACCACTCCGATACATAGTGGCCAGTAGTCTGGCCCACTCATGCCTAGCAGTTCGGGATGCCCCACTCCGATACATAGTGGGCAGTGTTGGAACATATGAGGATCTCGATATGCACAAATCACGGACAAACATTCAACATAAACCTATGCGCAGCGGATCTAAAGGTTTGATGAAGAAAACTTACTGCTTAAAATTTATGTAGATCTGGCTGGCCCGAACAGTTGACCGCAAATCAAATCTTCTCGGAATCGAACAAACTTGACCAATCCAGAAAGCTGACATCACGGTGAAGTCAATGGCGTTGACCGATCGGAAAACGGAGGATCCACGCGCTCTCACGCGCGCGAGTAATTCCCAGCTACTGCAACCTTCAGGTGGCGCGTGCGGCGGCGATCTCGACGGCGATCTCTTCGTCTCGTCATTCTGGTCGTCGTGGTGTGGTCACTTGCTGGTTTTGGTCTCCGGTTTGAATGTATGATTGGAATCTCTATATA